TACTTGATCTAAACAAATAGATAAACAACAACACCATAATAGTCGGAGACTTTAACACCCCACTAACAGCACAGGACAAATCCTCCAAACAGAAAATCAACAAAGAAATAATAGACTTAAACAGAACTCTAGAACAAATGGGCCTGACTGACATTTACAGGACATTCTACCCCAATACCACTGAACATACATTCTTCTCATCAGCTCATGGGTCATTCTCTAAGATTGATCATATCCCAGGAAACAAAGCATGTCTCTAACAATTAAAAAAAATAGAAATTATATCATGTATCTTTTCAGACCACAATGGAATACATGTAGAAACCAATCCTAACAGGAGTTCTCATGTCTACACAAAGTGATGGAAACTAAACAACCTTCTGCTGAATGATCACTTCATAAACATGGAAATCAAAAGATTCTTTGAACTAAATGACAAAGGTGATACAAGTTACCAAAACCTGTGGGACACAGCTAAAGCAGTCCTGAGAGGAAAGTTTATTTCCATAAATGCCTATATCCAAAAGTTGAAAAGATCACAAATATACGACCTAATGAATTGTCTCAAAGAGCTGGAAAAAGAAGAACAGACTGATCCTAAACCCAGCAGAGGAAGTGAAATCATTAAGATCAAATAAGAACTAAACGAAATAGACAACAGGGAAACCATACGGAAGATTAATAAAACAAAAAGTTGGTTCTTTGAAAAAATAAAATTGACACACCTTTGGCTAGATTAATGAAAAGCAGAAAAGAAAAATCTCTAATAAGCTCCATCAGGAACAATAAAGGAGAAATTACAACTGATGCCCTGGAGATACAAGATATAATTTATGAATACTACAAAAATCTCTATGGAAAAATTTTTAGAAACACACAGCCTCCCTAGGCTCAACCAGGAAGAAATAGAACTCCTGAACAGACCAATATCACATGCTGAAATAGAAACAGCAATTAAAAACCTTCCTGAAAAGAAAAGTCCTGGACCAGATGGTTTCACACCCGAATTTTACCACACCTACAAAGAAGAACTGGTACCTATCCTGCAGAAATTATTCCACAACATCGAGAAGGATGGAATCCCCCCCAACACATTTTAGGATGCAACAACAACAAAAAAAACTACAGACCAATATCCCCTTATAAATATAGATGCAAAAACTCTCAATAAAATGACAGTCGAATCCTAGCCAGTCGAATCCAGGTGCTTGTCGAGAAAATAATCCATCACAACAAAGTGGGCTTCATCCCAGGGATGCTGGGATGGTTCAACTTACGCAAATCTATAAATGTAATTCACCATGTAAACATATGCAAAAACAAAGACCATATGATCTTCTCAATAGATGCAAAAAAAAAGGCATTTGACAAAATTCAACACCCTTTTATGATAAGAACTCTCAACAAAATAGGCATAGATCAGGCTTACCTAAAAATGATACAAGCCATATATGACAAACCCACAGCCAATATCATAATGAATAGGGAACAATTGAAAGCATTCCCACTTAGAACTGGAACAAGACAAGGTTGCCCACTATCTCCACTTCTATTCAACATAGTGCTGCAAGTCCTTGCTACAGCAGTCAGACAAGAGAGCAGAATGAATTAAGGGTGTCCAAATGTGAGCAGAAGAGATCAAACTCTTACTCTTTGCTGATGACATGATATTATACCTAGAAAACCCCAAGGATTCAACCAAGAGACTCCTTGAACTGATAAATGAATTTTGGTAAAGTCTCAGGATACAAAATCAATACACAGAAATCAGAGGCATTCATATACACCAACAACAGTACAAGTGAGAACCAAATCAAAGACTCAATTCCCTTCAAAATAGCAACAAAGAAAATAAAGTACCTAGGAATATATTTAACTAAGGAGGTAAAAGACCTCTACAGGGAGAACTATGAAACACTGAAGAAAGAAATAGCAGAGGATGTAAACAGGTAAAAGAATATATCATGTTCATGGGTCAACAGAATCAACATTGTTAAAATGTCTATACTACCCAAAGTGACCTACAGCGTCAATGCAATCTCTATTAAAATACCATCATCATTTTTCACAGATGTAGAAAAAATAGTTTTACACTTCATATGGAACCAGAGAAGACCCTGTATAGCAAAATCAATCTTAGGCAATAAAAACAAAATTGGAGGTATCAATTTACCAGACTTCAAACTATACTACACATCTATAGTAATCCACACAGCATGGTACTGGCAGAAGAACAGGGACATTGACCAGTGGAACAGAACAGAGATCCGAGATATAAAACCATCCTCATAGAGTCAACTAATCTTCGACAAAGCAGACAAAAACATAACAGGGGAAAAGAATCCTTATTCAATAAATGATGCTGAGAAACCTGGATAGCCACATGTAGCAGACTGAAATAGGACCCACACATTTCACCTCACACAAAAATCGACTCACACTGGGTAACAGACTTGAACATTAGGTGTGAAACTATTCGAATTCTAGAGGAAAATGTTGGAAATATTCTTCTAGACATTGGCCTAGGCAAAGAATTTATGAAGAAGACCCCAAAGGCAATCACAGCAACAATAAAAATAAATAAATGGGACCTGATCAAATTAAAAATCTTCTGCACAGCCAAAGAAACTGTCAAGAGAACAAACAGACAACCCACAAAATGGGAGAAAATTTTCGCAAGCTACACTAGATAACTAGAATTCATTTAGAACTCAGGAAAATCAGCAAGGAAATATCAAACAACCCTATCAAAAAGTGGACAAAGGACATGAACAGAAATTTTTCAAAAGAAGACAGAATAAAGGCCAACAAACATATGAAAAAATGTTCAACATCTCTAATCATCAGGGAAATGCAAATCAAAACTGCAATGAGATATCACTTATCTCCCGTAAGAATGACCTTTATCAAAAAGTCCACAAACAGTAACTATGTTGGCGGGGATGCGGAGAGATAGGAACACTCCTACACTGCTGGTGGGACTGCAAACTGGTACGGCCTCTGTGGAAAGCAATATGGAGATACCTTAAAGCGATACAAGTAGATCTACCATTTGATCCAGCAATTCCACTACTGGGCATCTACCCAAAAGATCAAATGACACTCTACAAATGGGACACCTGCACTCAATGTTTATAGCAGCACAGTTCACGATTGCAAAGGTGTGGAAACAACCCAAGTGCCCACCAATACATGAGTGGATTAATAAAATGCGATATATGTATACCATGGAGTACTATTTAGCTTTAAGAAACAATGGTGATATAGCACCTCTTGTATTTTCCTGGATAGAGCTGGAACCCATTCTACTAAGTGAAGTATCTCAATAATGGAAAAACAAGCACCACATGTATTCACCAGCAAATTGGTATTAATGGTTCAACACCTAAGTGGACATATAGGAAAAACATTTATCAGGTGTCGGGTGGGTGGGAGGGGAGAGGAGGAGATGGGTATATACAAACATAATGAGTGAGATGTGTAACGTTTAGGGGATGCTCACGCTTGAAGCTCTGACTCAACAGGGGGAGGGGGATGGGCAATATATGTAACCTTAACATTTGTACCCCCATAATATGCTGATATAAAAATAAATAAATAAATAAAATTGGCCTGGATTTTTCAAGAACTCCATTTGGAGAAACCCAAACTTAAAAAGTTAAAGCCTTTGTCCAATATCAGAAGTTCAGTGAATGAATGTATGTTTATATTTGAAGTTATAATAAAACATTTAAGGCATTTATATATCATTTTTATGATTTCCTGCTTTATCTGCTTGACTGGATGAGAAGGCGTCTACTATGTCTACAGTTGTAATTATCCACAGCAACAAGGACGTGAATCCACTTATGGTATGCCCGTAATTGGTAAAGTTTCTTTCAATGGGAAAATAGCAGAGTTACAGAGACCCAAAGAAGTCCTCCAAAATTGACATGTTAGCAGTCTAGGTAGCTGAGATCCAGGCTGTTAATGGTCAGGATTGTGAGATCCTCCCTTTAGCAAGAAGCATTTAACATAAGGGGTGGTATGAACTCCTCTTTGCAAGTACCTGGTTTGGAATAGTGCTTTTCAAACTGTGTGTTGCAAAATCAGTTTAGCGGTTCATTAAAAATTTTTTTAAAGGATAGAACGTAAAATTTTGTGCATTTTAGGTAAAAAGTATAAGTTTGGAATTACATAAAATGATTAAGTTGATTCAGTGTTTACTGGCTAAGACAAAAGCCACAGATCATTGTAGAAATAAAAGAGGCAACATATGTTTTTTAAAAAACCCAAATTTTGTGTAGCAGGGCAAAAATAAATTACAGTTAAAAATAGGACACTCTGAAGATGGAATGACAGGAAGCATGAAGTCAAGGGTTTCCTTTAAAATGCTACAACAGAAAAGAAAGAAAAAGGGAGAAGGAAGAAAGGAGGGAAGAGAAGAGAGAAATTAATCATGTAAAGCAAAATACTGATAAGTATAGAATCTGGGGAACAGGTATATGAGAGTTCATTATATTGTTCTCTACTTTCATATGTTTGAAAACTTTTGTAATACAATTGAAAACTCTGAAGTGGAAGAAATAATGGGTATTGAAAATGCTAGATGGTGTTTGCAGTTCTGACTCTGTTTATCTTCTATAGGTACTACTTTTATTTATGTTATTTAGCAAAATGGGGTGTGTAATTAGTTTTTAATAAGTAGTGATTTAGCTTTAGAGTCCTAGAGCAAAGCTGATTGCCTCTTCCTATTATTGCAATCACCCAGCATTAGAGATTCAAGAAAAATGTACACGTGCACGTGTATATCATGCCAACAGTTAAAACATCAAATTCCAAGTATGACCACGAAGCAGTGAAACATCTTTCACTATTTCTGAATTAAAATATTTTGGACAAGCACATTCAGGATGAAAAAAAATAAATCCAAAATGCACTCTGAATGTTTCTGAGTGTGTTTTTATACTAAGTACTACCATGAACGATGGTTCCTTGAACTAACTTCTTTTCTTTTCTAGGCCGAACAGGAACTATGGTTTGTGTCTGCCTTATTACCAGGGGAATCTTTTTAACTGCACAGGTATGAAAGATATTATTACAAACTTTGTCTTATGATGATTGAATTTGTTAGTTCTGAAACATCACCGATAGGATGTTAAGATGATTCTTTAAGTCATGGTAGTTAAGTGAAATTGTATTGGAAAAGCAGTTTTTTGAAAGTCTGGTTTTGATACTTCCTTGTTAACATGCAGTACTTAGTAACTGACTTAAGGACCTCTTATTTTGGGCCAGGACTAGGGTGAGATTAGTGAGGCACAAAATTTAAGGAATGCTAAAAATCATAGCCATTAGAATAAATAATATTTTAATGTAATATTTTAAAAATAAAACTTAATGAAAAAACTATGATGTATACAATATCAACATTTTAAATCAAGATAGGACCCAATAGGGCAGGATTAAGGTGAGATGAGTAAAGCCATGTTATGCAAGTGTTAAAAAAAACTTTAGTAATCATTTGCTTCATTCACCTCACCCTAGTCCTGGCCTGCCCTTAGTCCCACAAGTAACATGACTTTTTCCTTCTTCATGAGAATAATGCCATGATTAATTAGATAAGTTCTCCAAAGAACTTTGACCATCCTTATAATTGCTAGATAGATAGAAGGCACCATTTCCCAACTCAGAACAAAGTCTCTTCTAAACATAATTAGCTTTGCATAGTTAATAATGGGGGACCTGTGACCTCTGGAAATTTCTGAGAAGGCAGGGTGGGCTGTTTTCACTTCTTAGTTCTCAGTCCTTTTTCTGGATAATCTTGCTGAAAACTTACCACTTCCAGAACATACCGCTAGCAGCTCTTCTCAAATTGCTTGGCCTAATCTGGGGAAGAGAAGGAGTGGATTATGCACGATGCCCAGCACTCTAATTCCACCATTTCTGGCTTTTCTAATTTGAGACACAGAGGCCTTTAAATTGGGTGTTCTAAACAATTGACAGTGTTTTTCAAATATGGATCATGATCTATCAGTGAGTTGTAAAATCAACTTGCTAGGTTATGACTAACATTTTTAAAATAAAATGGAATACAGCAGAACAGAAAATATTAAAAGGTAAGTATTTGTATGTGTGTGTATGTATCTTCTAGGTTTATTAAATTGGATTGTAGCTGAGAAAACAAAGACTTTTGAAAGCCATTGACCCAGAGCCCTAGCTCCCTCTAACCAGCTGCAGCATCTCCATAACAGGTTGCTTGCTTGGTTTTCATTTGGTCTTAGTCTTTTCATTTGTAAAATGGAAAAATAGGAAGAAGACTTGGACCGGGTGATCTCTAGGTCTTTCTAGCTCTAAAATTTCATGTCTTTATGCATCTTTGAATGAGAGAAGTCCTTGATATACCTTAGTTTGTTATTTTGGGTAGCCTCTGCCCAAAGACCACTAACTTAAGGAAATAATGTGCATTTACAAACTTTAAGGATGGCTGATATAGGAAAGAAAAGTGTGCAGATAGACCATGGTTGAATTGTCTCCTTTCATTATAGCAGAGCCTTCGTTATTTTGGACAACGACGAACAAATAAAACCAGCAGCACTAAATTTCAGGGAGTAGAAACTCCTTCTCAGGTAAGTTTTCCTTTTAAAAAGGGAAGGTTTTTAGCAGAGCAGGTGAAGATTGGGACCTGTTACTTGGTTTTGTTTTAGATTCTTCACCTTTGGTGATAGCAGTATCACTTAGTAGGTGCCTTACCAACAGGCCTTGATCCTTCCCTAGTGCTGAGACCTGCACTTCAGGTGCTGCCCAAGCTTTGTGCTCTGGGTTCTCCTCAGAGCAACCCACTTTCCATTTTATCTTTGTTATTGTTAACAGAGTCCAGGAGTTGATTGCCTTGCCAAAGAAGGAAGATCCAATACCTAAGGCTCCAGCCCCCTAAAGATTATCTAAAGTCATTAGTCTTTGATTTCCCTGTAAAGAGGAACTGAGTCTTTCACAAACCCCTACTAGGACAATTCAATCCTTGCAGAACATTACAAGGACTGTTTTTGGATGACTCCCTTGTGTGTGTGGGGGGGGGAGGTGTATTTTGAAAAAGAAAGAAAAAAGGACATAAACACTTTTCAAAAACTGATTATAGGCTGGGCATGGTGGCTCACGCCTGTAATCCTAGCACTCTGAGAGGCCAAGGCGGGCGGATTGCTCGAGGTCAGGAGTTCAAAACCAGCCTGAGCAAGAGTGAGACCCCGTCTCTACTATAAATAGAAAGAAATTCATTGCTATATGCATATAGAAAACTTAGCGCGGCATGGTGGCACATGCCTGTAGTTTCAGCTACTTGGGAGGCTGAGGCAGCAGGATTGCTTGAGCCCAGGAGTTTGAGGTTGCTGTGAGCTAGGCTGACGCCACAGCACTCACTCTAGCCTAGGTAACAAAGCGAGACTCTGTCTCAAAAAAAAAAAAAAAAAATTGATTATATACCTTCTGAAGCTGTTTCCCCCAAAAGACTATTATATGCCAGATAATATTGCACTTTTGCATTATCTCATTTAATACTCATAACAGCTATGTGAAATGTATGCCATCACCCTATTTTTTCTTTTTTAAAACATTTTATTATAGAAATTTAAAAACATATACAAAAGTCAAAAGAATCATACAATAATTCCCTTTAGTCATCACACTGCTTTATTAGTCATTCTATCCTGCAGCCACTCATGTTTCATCCATTCCCTTCCCACTCTCCTGACCCCACCCAACCCTCCTCTCCACTCTTTCTTTCCCTAAACCTGGATTATTTTGAAGGACATTTCAGTCATCAGATCATTTCATCCCAAAAGTATTTTGCTATGATATCTAATATAAGTCCTCTTAAAAGAAACCAAAGCTTTACTAAATATTATGCCTTAAAAATACCTTAGTAATATCAAATTTCTAGTCCATTTCTAGCCAAATTTCTAAATCCATTAGAATTTAGTTTGTTCCAATCAGGATCCAAACAAGGTCCACACATTTCATTTGGTTACTATGTCTCTTAAGTCTCTTTTAGTTTATGGGTTTTCTACCTCTTTTGTATTCCTTGTGATTTGTTTATTGAAGGAAGCAGGACATTTATCCCATAGAGTTGACAACATTGTAGACTTTGTCAAATCATTCTAAGGGTTTTGTGTTCATTATCTCATTTGATTATTCTTAGCAACTCTATAAGCAGACTACTATTCTCATTTTACAAACTGGGAAATTGAGGTTCAGAGAAATTAACTTTTGAACCAAGGACTCAAATCTAGATCCATCAGACTCTGAAGTCCATTATTTCCCATGCTATGCACAGCTTCTCATCTATATTGCTCCTCAAACTGGAAGGAGAGCTGGTTAGGGATGCTTCAGTAGATTTGGATGTAGCTGTGAATTAGTTTGTCAATGAGTGAAGTGATAGGAGCTAAATAAGTCACTTGGCTCTTTTAGAATAACACTGTAATTACTGGCCCCAGATCTTTAATTTGGGCAAAAAAAACCCTCAGCCTTACCGACTGATGCTATTCTCCTACACCCAAGCCAAAAAGAAAACAAAGACAGCCATAGACCCTAAGCTAAAAGTATTGCATGAAGTTATGGAAGCTTAGCCCTAATCATGCCATTTCCGTGCTCAAAATCCATAATGTTCCCCCGACTACCAATGGCAACATACTCAGTGTTTCAACCTGGCATTCAAGACCTTCTACAATTTGATTTTTCCACCTTTTTCTTCCACTATGTGCATTGACAGACCCCACATCTAACACATTAGACTGTTTGCTATTTCCCAGCTTGTGGACACTTTACACCTCCTGCCATTGCTCACATGGGCCCTTTTCCTAGAGTCCCTGTCCCTTTCCAGCCTGAAATAGTCTCTCATTTTTTCAGTTCTTTTAGCCCTTTGTGTTTCTTTTAGGGACTAAGTCACCTTACATTATTCTCTAGCTATTTGAAGTGGTGACTTCTGTACCCTCTTTAAAGGCAAGGCCCATATCTATGCCTCTTTCTACCCTTTGCATCCCAAAGTGTCTTGCCGCTTTTCATAATATCATCTTTGTTTGTAGTGAGAGCTTACTATGTGTTGGTTGTAATTAATTTTTGTTACAAGTGCTTGTTTTTTAAGCTATAGAAGAAAGAAGCATGGGAGCAAAATCAGCGTGAGGGCCCTGGTAGGTTACAGCTTTTAGTGGAAGGTGAAGAATTTGGTGGCAGGCGCCAAGGGGATGTTAGGTGTAACTCACCTGGTACATCTCCCCTTCTCCATTTCTTCTGCAAATGTGCACAGTTTCCCTAACTTTAGTCCAGAACTGATATTCCATAGGCTGCAACTGGATCTCTTCTGATTCACTTAGAGAGCAATGCAAGGGCTCAGCTGCAGGTGTGAGAGCTGTGTTGGCAAGGCCCCAGGACAGAGTGCTCTCTGTGGCAGGTGGTAATTCTCAGTCGCATTTAAACCATGCATTGTGGGCTATTCTACCAATCACATTTTATCCACCCCTGAGTTAAGAACTTACATAAGCCTTCCTCATGACTGGCCCTTTCTAGTGGAAAGTCTGACAGTTAATTTTATTAACACTTCTCAATGGGTGTCTGTAAACTTTTGAGTCCAGTTGCTTCAGTACCAGAACTCTTTAACTACCTTAAGAAAGATTCAAGGAGAGCCATTGTTGACAGCTTGCCACAGGGGAAGGACAAAGCTAGGAGAATTCCATAGCTTCCTTATGAAAGCAGAACTGAGGAAATGGAAAGAAAGTCTAGCTGGCAGGAATAAGAGAAGAATGAAATGAAATCTACTACTGACCTATGAAGGTTTTCCTCTTGAGTTTTCAGATACACCATTCTCCCATGCCCAGAAGGCTACTGCCCACCAAACCACAAACCTTCTTCTATCTCAGCCACAACTACGCTTCTACCCCCATATTGATAATGTTGTAGCTGTTTTCTTGTCAATTCTGATTAGTTGCCCTCTCAATCATAAGTAGCCCATAAGCAAGACCTGGCTCTATCCTTTTTCACTTCCCCATAAGCAGTTAGTTCAATGTTTTTTTTCCCCACCAAGGCAGATATTCAGTTGTGAGGCAACATTCATAAAAATACTGACTTATATAATGGTACCCAGTAAATGTTTCCTAAACTACACTGCTTTTAATAAGCTCTATCAAAAAAAAATTAGGAATGGTGACTTGACTTTTCATCTCCACTTAAATTGAGGCTTGTGTTGCTTTGCAGAATAGATACGTTGGATATTTTGAAGAAGTGAAACATACCTACGATTGGAATCTTCCTCCAACAAAATTTCTCTTGTTAAAAAAATTCATTATTTATTCAATTCATGGTAAGTGCTTTATATATAATTGAAAAATTGGGCAGATGGGCCAATGTTTCCACTATTTGGAGAGTTTTGCTCATAGTTACATATACAGATGATCCTAACTCATAGCTGTTTTTTTACATATGCTCGCACAGCAATCCTTGGCCATATTGCTAACTCCTAGATGTCCTTCACCTTCCCTTTTCCATCACCAAATTTGGGAGTTTTATCCCCTTCCCTTCTGTCCTGTTCTCATTGCTCCTCTGGCCTCAGGCCACGATGGACTTTTCAGGGTAGAGCCTCTGATGGAGGAGAGAAGGACCCATGTACCCTTAAGACTGCTTGTTTCTCATAACCAACTCTAGTTTGGGTTCGTCTTGGTGGAGGTGTCCCTGTATCATTTTCTCACCTACTCCTTTCCTAGTTCCTTTTTTTTCATCACCCTGGGCTTCCCCTTTCCCCTCTCTCCTCCCTTTGTAACCCTCTCACTACCAGCAACTCCATCAAGATGTGTTAAATACCCAAACAGCAAATTAATTTTATTTTATTTGTTGCCACGTAACTACTGAATGCCTGCTCTTGGCCAGGCCTTGTGCTAGTGTTTCCCTGCCAGTAAGGAGTCCATGGGTCAGTAAAGAAAAGAACTAAGTACATAGATAAAAAGCCGACCACAGCACTGGGGTACACAGTGTTGGAGATATTGAGGAAAGCCTCCTAAGGGGCAGCACTTCCTCCTTGCCTGAATCTACATGAAAATGGAAAGGGTTGGGAAAACATGGGGCTCCGTGGAGGTGTGTCTCAGCCCCCTAGTGGTTACCAAGTATTACCAGTAGTAAAAATCCCTAAACTTCAAAAGAGCTGACTATGTGCCTGCTTCCAGACCGTTAGGAGAGAATAAAGCTATGGCTGGAATCCACCATTGCCCAGGGAGGCAAGAAAATTGGTCAGGTTATTCATCTGTGGGACTCAGGAAAGCAGAGAGAGAGAACTGTCCTCTATCACCTATCTCACTTCCGCCACACACATCCTACCCTCAGGGGAGGCGGGAAAGCAAAAGCAGGGATGTGTCAGTGTGGAGAGGTTGGGATCTCACCATCTCCCACTGCCAGAAGGCAGCAAGGGGGTTATGCTTCTGAACTTCTAAAGCAAACCTCTTGTAACAGGTGGATTGTGGATTGTGAGAAGGTACTAGTATACTGGTATCCACCTAGACATCCTAGTTCTTTTTAGCCTTCTAAGAAGGCATACAAAATAAGATCTGGATATATTTTCTTTAACATTTTGTCCAACTATTCAGAAATAAAAGAAGCCTTTAAAATATAAATTAAAACTGCATTATCACAAAAATGATACTTGTTCATTAAAATATAAAATGCTTTAAAAAATTATTTGCATATGTTTGTTTCCCCTACACATACCTCCACTACTTCTTGGTGGTGGTGAGAAGTGTTAATGGATTACCACAAACAGATTACATAGGTTTCTGACTTCTGAAAACAAACTTCAACCCAGTAGCATTGCTTCCGTGGGAAATTTTGGTCCAGATTTCCAAACAAGCAGCTGTGCAAGAAGACCCTTGAAACCCAGCCTGTTCTGGCGGGAGACTGCCTGAGTATATATAATGAGCAACTGTTTTTGAAAAGGCTTTGTAGACTGCAAAGTCCTCTACAAAGTCCATTATGACTGCTTCATGGGAGCTATGTGAATTAAGAGGGATAGGGTTGTGGTGGAGCCTAGTGACTGACCTCACTTGGAACCCTGACTGTTGTCAGAACCCCCAAGGATAGACGTGCCAGGCTTGTTCAGTAGGTGGCAGAAGGTAGGGGACAGCAGACCTTGCACTTCTTCCTTTCCACACTCAGCAGAGCCCAGCAAAAAGAGCTAGGTTGCTTTATTCTGCAGTGTGAGTGGCAACATAGTCTGCTGTTGGAGCAGTTTCTCCCACAAAGAAATTTAAACCCAACTATAAAACCAACTCAGTAGTGTGACAGCTTCTATTATAGCTGAGTGTATACTCTTCCTCAATTTCCTGTTGGTTAACAGTAGAAATGACAGTATCTAAACAAACCTTTGTGAGCATTAAACTATTCCATGCAGACAAACAGGCATTTAATCTAATGAAGTTTTAATGTGCTCCTATAATATGAATAGTGAGAATAGAATTAGTGTTTCAAAATTCTAAGCTTAAAAATGTGCTTAATATGCTATACAATTTCATATGTTGTCTCAGTCTGATACTATATCCTAAGACTGTGACTTTTCTCTTATTAATATTTTGAATTTTATTTAAACCCTATGGTGACATTGTTTAGTTAAAAATAATAAGGTGCAGATCTGAAGAACAGAGGAACTAACCCAAATTTATAAGCATTGCAGATGAAGTCTAGTGGAGAATTTCATGGGCTTGATTTCCTAGTCTCAGGCTAACATAAAACAGATAATTTTAAAAGTCCAATCTGAGATTCTTCATGAAGAGTTCCAGATAGAACACTGAGATGTGACCTTCGCTGTTCAATACTGTGTGGGTCTAGTCTCACAGAGTAGACTGAATGAAGCCTATATGGCAAGTTAAAATTCTTCCTGCACCTGTAAAAATAATCAGGCCAAACCTAATGGGATCACTCTTATTTTAAAATAAAAATAATCTTCCTTTGAGATTATTATCACAACAGAAAGGGGATGGATGTAAAGACCACCAGAAAAAAGTATGAGAAAGACTTAGAAATGGGTAATATCTTGTTTAGTGTACCCTTCTGGGTTTATCTCTGCCTTTCCTCCTTTTATTGTCTTTGAGCTATTTTACAATTTTGGAAGTTGTAGAAAACTGATATTAAGGCAGATACAGTAGTCCTCCATTATCTGTGGTTTCACTTTCTGCGTTTTCAGTTACTCATGGTCAACTGCAGTCCAAAAATAGGTGAGTACAGAACACTAAGATATTTTAAGAGTCAGACCACATTCACATAACTTTTATTACAATATATTGTTATAATTTTTCTATTCTATTATTGTTGTTAATCTCTTACTGTGCCTAATTTATAAACTTTATCATAGATATGGATGTGTAGCAAAAAGTATAGTATATATAGGGTTCAATACTGTACGCAGTTTCAGATGTACACTGGGTGTCTTAGAATGTATTCCCTGTGAATAAGGGGGGACTGCTGTAATTTTTGTCCATATAAATGCAAATTAGCTGTGTCCAGTGGAATGCAATTGGTTATAGACCCATTTTGGCAAATGTTAAATTGTTAAAAATGCAAGGTACAAGACAGTGCTATTGTATGCAACCATTTCTGTAAAACAAAAGGAGGAATAATATGTATTCATATTTGTGTGTATTTATATATATAAAACATCTTGGAGGATATATATTCATATTTGATTCTATATGCATAAAGGCAAGAAACTAATGGTAGCGGCTGTATATTCAGAGCTGAGGAACTAAACAGGTGGAGAACTGGTGAGATGGTGAAATTTTGCTTCATGTCTTTTTCAGTTTTTTATTTTTAAATTGTGTAAATAATATTTAAATTACTTTATTTTATTTTATTTATTTATTTATTTATTTTTGAGACAGAGTCTCACTCTGTTGCCTGGGCTAGAGTGCCATGGCATCAGCCTAACTCACAGCAACCTCAAACTCCTAGGCTCAAGCAATCCTACTGCCTCAGCCTCCCAAGTAGCTTAGACTACAGGCATGCATCACCATGCTCGGCTAATTTTTTCTATGTATTTTTAGTTGGCCAATTAATTTCTTTCTACTTTTAGTAGAGACGGGGGTCTCACTCTTGCTCAGGCTGGTTTCAAACTCCTGACCTCGAGCAATCCGCCCGCCTCAGCCTCCCAGACTGCTAGGATTATAGGCATGAGCCACCACGCCCGGCCAATTTAAATTATTTTAAATCTTTACATGTGTCGGAATTTAAGCTTATAAATCCATGCTCTTTTCTTGTCATGTGATTAAGTATTTGACTTAGTTTAGTTCTACATTTCACAGCTTTCTTGTAGACAGCAATAGAAAGTAGTTCTGTGCCTGGAATGGAACAGAGGGAACTGAGGCAAGAAACTGTAATTCCTAAAGACAGATTAACAGCCTAGAGTTAGTGAAAACAAAATTAAATAAAAACAAACAAAATATGAGACTAGCAATCAAGAATGATTAATATACTATTTTATTAGAATATTTTTTAAAATTCTCTACCTTTTGTTTTGTGCATATTTGCAGGGTTGAAATATGCAGGGTTGAAAGGAAAGCAATAAAAATTAATTGGAGGCTTGAGAAAGTAGTTCTTTCAGGAAATGCTAAAGAAAGTGGATCATTTGAATTGAAAAAAGGGGCAACAGACCATTTGTCTGTAAATATATACTAAACATCACAGGAATGTTTGAATTTAACTATTCTGTATTTTCATAGAGATTGCATTAGGAATTGTACTTAAAGTAGGGCAAGAATAATTTAAACTACAGTATTTATTAAAAGAATCATCATGGTTAGGCCAGGTGAGGTGGCTCATGCCTATAATCCTAGCATTTTCGGAGGCCAAAGCAGAAAATTTGCTTGAGGTCAGAAGTTTGAGACTAGCCTGAGCAAGAGCAAGACCCCATCTCTACAAAAAAAAAAAATAGAAAAAAAATTAGCAGGGCGTGGTGGCATGTGCCTATAGTCCCAGCTACTCAGGAGGCTGGGCCAGGAGATTTGCTTGAGCTCAGGAGTTTGAGGTTGCAGTGAGCTATGATGATGCCACCACACTCTAGCAGGGGGGACAAAAAGAAAAAAAAAGAAACTTCATGATTAGAAGTCTGAAGAAAGCAACATATTAATATTAGCAAAAAGGGTTGCAAGTCACCTTCCCTAAATTTTTTTTCTAGAAAGTTGAAGTGGTAAGATTCTAAGTCATGCAAGCAGAAGTATATGTCTTTTTTCTCTGTCTTTAGTCTTATAAATTCTGCTTTGGGAGACAGGATTGGGCTTTTGAAGCCCCATTTCTCAAAGACAAAATCTATGCAAGACCAAATGATTAAATATTGACACATTGATAGCTGGGATAATTTTTTTCTTTTTAATCCATAATGTTAATTGGTGAGACATTTTGATCTTTTCTCCGACCAGCCTAACTTTTTAATTTCATTTAGGACTCGGAAGTGGCAATGGATGTGATCTAACCATGCAAGTGATAATGAAGCAAAGTATTATTTATTCCTGTTCTTCATCCCAAAATGCTAAGGTAAGAGAAAACATATGAACTGAAAATTCTGGTGTTTGTTTTAAAGCTCAATGTCAAATCAGCATTTTGACCTTACCAAACCATAACTTATCATAATGAGATGCCATGTTGTTTTCTGGTTACCATCCAACTTGGTGTCACTGAAGGTTTGGATGCAAACCATTAATAAATTAACCACATTGTTCAAAATAGTTTTTTTCAGGATACTTTCCAGAATACATTTTAGTACAGAGTGTTGCTTTTCCTTTTATTTTCCCGCAAATGCTGAGCATGTTCCCAGGAATCTATCGAGGTTTTAAATTCACCTATCTGGTCATTTTAGGCATATTCTCTTCTTCTGGATCATTTTATCTTTTATTAAATGATTCTAAAATTTTAGTGTGCATGAAAACCACCTAGGAGCTTGTAAAGATAAGCATTCCTAGGTTGTACTAATGTCTGATTCAGGAAACTAGAATTGGGCCCAGGAACCTATAGACTTAGAAATGTCCCGAGTGATTCTAACTCAGAGGGTCTATGGGATGACACTATGAGAAACGATGCAAGAGTGGGAGGAATCTCTTTATCCAAAGTAATGTTTTTCTAAAATGAAGAAATGCCTCAAACTATAGGCCTTTTCTGAAACAATAAGAGAGCTTCCTTCATGGGTCTAAGAATCACAAACTTTTATAATTTCCCCCCAGGCTTTTGCCTCAAATTCTCCTATTACCAGCCCTATTCCTCTCCCCCTACTTTTTCTGGACTCTCCTAATTGAAGGCATTCGCCAAGGGCTGATCTTTGGCTTTCTATTCTTATTGCAGCAAATATTCTATTCTTGGTTATACTCACCCATTCTGCTTCTTTAAATTATTTGTTCTCTCATTTACTGAACAGATATTTATGAACACCCAATGAGTTGTAGATGTAGGAGCTACAACCTGGACAGTCTCCATTCCAGCAATTCAAACAAATTAGTCAATCCAAATTTATCAAATGAGCTTTTCCTCTGCTTCTGCAAATAGCACCAACATTCTACCACTCGGGCCTTAAAATTTCATAGTACCTTTGATTCTGTTTTTGCTTTGGCCCCCTAGTATGCAATTAGTCACCAGTTCCTGTTGATTATACGTTTGAAATTTTTCTACGCTCTCCCTACCTTTCTGTTCCCACTGCCACTACCTAGTCCGAGACCTCATTTGCTCATGCCTAGACTTCTAAAATAGTCTCCTTCACCCTTTCTTTCTCCTTATACAATGCAGTATATAGAGTCCCGAAATACGCATCCTGAAATATTGTTTTCATTGTGAAAAGCTGTAGGTAGAGCAAAAGACAGACTGTGTGCCCATGGTCAAAGTTACCGTCTGGCTCAGCATTTTATCTATAAAATAAACATCACATCACAAATGTTGTAGGAATTAAATTAGATAATATATATGAAGTTGCTTTGTGAACTATAAATCACTAAATAAATGTTATATATGATAATCATCAGGCCACTTTGTTATATAGAAAATGTCCCATTATATTCTTTAACAACTTCACTCTTATTTCCCTGGCTTTTGTGCTCTCAAGATATAATAGCCCTATCATACCTGAGCTTATTTCCTTCACACACCCAGTCTTGATCATATAGCTTGACAATTATATACCATTCTACTATCATTTCTTATGTGTATAGCTGAGTCTGCACCTTCTTTTGTAGTTTTCACAGGACCTAGCAGAGACCTTCATTATTGTGGGTGCCATTATTTTTGAGGGTGACTCAATAACAAAGAAGTACTTAGTATAGCTTCAAAGTCATCATTACAAAAACTTGACCTATCTTTGATCACTGGTCCAGCAGCCTGCAATGGATATGGCCTATGATCCCATCAACAAATGCAATATTCTTGATAAAACATGATGATTTATGCATTGCTTTTTGAATGTCAATGCCAGCTTTAAAATTGAGTTTCTTAATGTATTCTCAAAAGAGGCCTCAACATATAAAAATCAGATGACATTTACAATAACATTTAGCAATAATATTTAATTGACTAACCTCTAATAGAAAGTTGAATACTTTACTTTTCAAAAGAGCCCCACCATAACCCTCAAACATGTTGGCCTTTAAAAAATACAAACATATCTGGAGGCTCTGTTGGAATAAAAAAACAGAAAAGCAAAAATAAAAATATATGTATAAACAGTAGTATTTCAACTTTATAGAAAAGATTATTAATATTTATTTATACATGTAGTGATTGGGCTATGAGATCAGAAGTACTTGATAAATATTGGAAGCCTTGATAAGTGAAAATGAACTTCACTGTTTTCATGAGCTAGGTTTATAGTTCTGAATTCCTTGTGTCCATTCACAGATTTTTCATGACAGTGAATCAAACAGAGTAATAATACATATATTCAGCTGTCCACCTTTGTGCGATGATGTGAAAATGCAGTTTTTCCTTTGTTCCGTGAGTAAGCAAGAAACAGCCTCTTCCAATTGTCCTTGTCTGGTGTTTTAATTGATTTTGGCTTGGAGTTTCCTTTGCTACAGTTTCCAACAAGGGAAATAATGGATGTTAACTCTTTGCCAGGGAGGTGTAGGAAAACAACAAATCAGATCTATAACAAAGTTTTTAAAAATAAGAACATATATAATTTGAAAAATTTTTGCTCACTTGTTTTTTTCTAAATTCTATATAATTTACATATATTAATTTTCAAGTAAGAAAAAATACAAAAGTCAAGATGCTAAAGATATATTTTACTGCATAACAGTGATCACATTTTTGTTTTGCATCGTTAAAACACATTGCTCCCCATAATTCATAAAACACTTTAAAGTAAGAGAGATTTGACTTTTCTCTGAGTTGATATTATAAGGTTATAAATAGCATTTATTAATTCAGTATTTACTTTATTAAAAATGAGAATTTCTCCAATTGTCATTAATCTGAATATGATGAGTATATAATTTATATTAACCAGTCATAAAATGTATATCTGAATATTATTCTGTTTATAACAAATTTCTAAGCCTAATATTAGTTTTAATTCACTGTACTATTAAATTGTCAACCAGAACTGCCAACAAGTAAGTATGTCGATCAATTTAAAATTTATTTCCTGTACCCTCCTTCATCCCCTTTTACTACCTGTTGGAGGAGAATCTATTAAGTATGAAGTGGTAAATGTATTGAAGGAAGTGACCTGGATAGTTCCCATATCAGATGTCGCCCCTTGAAGAATGGAGTCACTGAATTCTTGCTCAAACAGTGGTCTCTAAGCAAAAGCATTGGTGTGAAGGTCACTGGCCCAGGGGACCTTGGGGAATAGTCAGCCTTTACGATTATCAAGAGCCATGAGATGAATGCACTTTAAAAAATGTTTAGATATTTCTGTCATCACCAATAATGAGGGTTAATTATTCAATATAGCTGCTCTTTGTAGAAATGGATAATAAGTGTTGTGTTTTCTCCTAATTTGGTCTTGAGCTCTCTCTCTGGAGAGCGACTATTAACTCTACGCCTGCTCAGATGGGGCTCCAGGTGAGGTGGTTGTGGATGTTTACAGTGTGCTTTTCACAGGATACTTCTTTATCCTAGTGGATGGCTTAATGCCTAAGTGTCTGACCCATAACCAGGTATCTCTCTCACAGAAAATTTGTTTATGGCAGACACCCTAGTGGCTCTTGTCTGGCCTGTATCCAGTTTATTCCTACCAAAATAGCCACTGACTGGGAGGAGAGTTAGAGTTAGGTGTGTTGGTCAGGTGAAATGGATGGCGAAAGCAGCACAACAAAACACATGAAATAACAGAGGCAGTTTTATTACTTACAGATTCCAGAGAAAAGAGGGCAGCACACCTCTCAGGGCCAACTTAGAAGGGTGGAGCCATCCTTAAGGCCTGAGCTTGACTAGTGGGGTGGGGAGCAACAGAGAGACAGGGACCTGAGAGTTGAAGCCTTTTGCAGGGTCCAAGGTGCTACCTGAGCAGGTTTCCTGGAGGGAGGTCTAATTGGCAGGTTTAATGCAAGCAGGCACAAGTTTCACGGAATTATGCTGTGACTGAGAGCGGGTCCCTATGACATATCCACACAATCCATATGGAGTATGGGGGTCTGTGGGGTGAGGCAAGTAGGCTGTACTAGTTCTCCCACAGGGAAGTAGTCACCAGGAGGTGGCTGTATAAGGCACATATCTGGATCAATCACATTAAGGAATTGGGAGGAGGTGGAGAACTGGAAACTGTGTCAAGGGCGACTGAGCCTTGCTCTGGTGTAAGAAAGTCCAACATATTTAAAATGGATGCTGAGGCTACATAAAATCATAAAAATTCACTATAATATGTTTGGGTATACACACACACACACACATATAGATAGAGAGAGAGAGAGAGAGAGACATCGGCCCTTTGTAGATTCTGTTTAGCACTATCTGAATAAAATGAGTTTAAAGTGTTTAAATTTATAAATATCTATCATGGAAAAATACATTTCCTTGAAAATTTTGATATAAACAGAAAGAGAAAGCAACAGCATTCTCATAAAGCCTCCTTCTTTGTGTGTTGAGTGTACTGTTAGACTATAGAGTGCTGCATATTTAATGACTATAATTGATAAATATATAAAGGAATAAAGGAAGTAATTTAAATCCTTTTGGAATGATTAGTTCCCAGCATCAATTTTACTATGAAAATAACCTTTCTTTTAACCATATCTTTTTAGGGTGTTCCTAAATACTATACCAAGTGCCAATTTTTCTTTTGGTTTCATACATCTTTTATAAGGAATAACAGGTATGGATATAATATAATCCATTAGACACAGTCTAATCTTCAATATCTGTGTGTAAGGTGTAATGACAAGTCTTTCGCCAGTTGTCATAAGCTCAATTTATAGAAACCGTAAAATCTTTGAGTCACCCTTCTTCATTGCCTTACTCCTCTTAATCTGGTTATTTTAAAAATACAATTGTTCTTGAAACCCACTGTTGCATTATCCTCAAGATCCATGCCATAGAACTGTGTTATAAATTAAAAACTACTATAATCAGAACTTGAGCATGATAATAAATTCCTCCCATGGGAGTTTAATGAATCTGCTCAGTGCCTTGAATATGGCAGGTCCTCAAGTAGCTGTTGAGTTACTCATAACTGACCACTACCAAATTATATGCTAAGTAAGGTGGGATATCTAGGGAGGCTTCAGCTAGCTGAAAAGCTGATTGATACACATATCTGGAGCAGAAGTTACATGACACAATAAATATTAAGAAGATAGCTGGAAAATCATTAATTGATAGTCTTCCACTTAAACATGACTTTCTTATAACTAAATGGGGAAACTTTTTTTTAAAAAAAGTAATTACCTGCTGGGTGCAGTGGCTCAAGCCTATAATCTCAGCACTTTCGGAGGCTGAGGCAGGAGGATTGCTTGAGGCTAGAAGTTGGAGACCAGCTTGGCAACATAGTGAGACCCTGTCTCTACAGAATATAAAAAACATTGGCCAGGCATGGTGGTGCACGCCTGTAGTCCCAGCTACTTGGGAGGCGGAGGTGGGAGGATTGCCTGAGCCCAGGTGTTTGAGGTGGCGGTGAGGTATGATGATGCCACTGCACTCCAGCAGCCTGGGCAACAGAGCAAGACCCTGTCTCTAAAACAAACAAAAAAAGGTAATTAATAATTGGATTTGAAGATTTTTATTCCAAAGAACTTTCTACCATATCTGGAAACTCATTCCTGAGTCTAGAAGTTCTCTTTAAGGACTGTTTGTTCTGTGGTGGTGAAAAATTGAGATTTTTTGGTATCACCATACTATCTGATACAAATGGAAAAAATATATTTTAAAAATCATTGAAGCCAGAGTTGAAGAAGTGGTTGTGATTATATGTGGCATGAGTTAATAGTTATTGTTATATCTAAACCTAGTCTTTTAAGTCTGAACTTGACCTAATAACCCCTCAAGTCCATTAAGGCAACCTGGTCTACATACTTGTAATACACACATATTTAATGGACTTTTATAGAGTAAACTTTAGATTTGATGGAATATTTTTACTGATTTTTTTCCTGGATGTATACAAACAATGAACTTTGACTCATAACATGAGCAAAGTTCCTCAAACAGTGAGATCTGGAGCTTCATTTGGTGCTACTCCTCAGAAGTGCTTCCTTTTAAGGAATGCATTTTTTTTCTTTAAAACACCCTGTTCATGGTTACGGGTTCAGTGGCTTACCCCTGTAATCCCAGCACTGTGGGAGGCTGAGTGGAAGGCTTGCTTGAGCCCAGGAATTTGAGGTTGCAGTGAGCTATGGTGACACCACTATACTCTAAAAGCAAACAAACAAAACATCATATTCATACTGGAGAAGCAACAAGTTAGATCACTTATATATAAGTTTCTAGAGATTTCTATAACATTTAAATTTATATACTACTTGGTAAAGCTGTATTTATTAGTCATGAGATCGTTGTTTAACCAAAAATGCCAATTTCCATCATTTAAAAGAGACACAGTATTTTCCTGGGTTTTAATACACACCTAGTCTCTGAATGATTTCTGTCACATATAGAAATGTAGATATTTTATTAAGCCTGGATCTCATGATTCCATAAAAAGCAATGTTAAAAGAATCAGCAGCATGTGTCACTGAAGATTAGATACTTTACATCTCACCAGAAAGGTGGAAGGAAACAACTGAGACACAGAAAAAGGGGCTAGGGCTCTAATCATGGTGAGCAAGTCCTTTTCTTAAAAAGCTCTACCAAGGTTGCCCCCCTGCATGGCTTTTCAGTTAGCCCTAAAATAAAATATAATAATTTTTTTCTATTCTTAGGCTTTATCTACCAAGAAATGAATTGGACAAACTCCATAAACCAAAAGCATGGAAAATTTACCAGCCAGACTTTGCAGTAGAAATTTATTTTGAGGAGATAATAATCTAGAGTTGGTATCTGGTTACTGAATTATTGTCCTCCCAATCCCCTTCACATTTATGTCTTCTAAGCCTATTTTCTTACTATAAATATATTCTTGAGAAATACATTAAATATATATAAATAAAACATCAATGGCTTATTTTTTTCTTTTTTGAAAGAACATACTTCACACAAAGTTTCTGTCTTATATTTAGATTAATTTGGGACACAATACACAGGAACATTAGGTATCATTTTGAAGAACTTTGAAATAGAACTCTCATATCAAAATAATTGAGATATTAAAAAATTGTGATCCCTAATACCCATTTACTTATATATTTTTGGACATTTATTTTCTGCTTTGTTTCACATTTGTAGTTTCATTTTCTATTTTCTTGTAGTTTCTATTTTCTTCCTCTACTTGATTTACAAACTGTTAACAAAGAGATTTGCAGTGAAGACTAGGTTTTAAACCCAGGGTAGAGAAATGTTTCACACAAGCAGTCCCCCACCCCCACCAAACACAAACACACTTTTCTCTTGTTCCAAGCACTATCCAGGTAACTTACTTGACAAGCTTCCTTTAATTACACCCAAACATAGAGAGGAGGTTAAGAGGACAAAGAACCTTCAGTAACTTCTGCTTTTGTTTAACATCGTAAGTGAAGTCAAAGAAATACGTGTTCTTAATCTAGATTTATTATTTTGAATTTCACCACCTCTGCTCACAACCAGCTTCACCTAGGCTTGGGGAAACACTATGAAGGAAGGTCCCCTTTTCATTATAAACTCTGATCAGTCCTGTCTCCACAGGAAATCATAATCATTTTCTTTTTGGTATTGGGCGCTCCTTTATTCAAAGTACCTTTACTGCCACTCTATCTTCAGGCCATGATTGTCCTTGAAAAGAGTTCCATTTTGGCTTTATTGAAAGTATCCTTATTTGAATGATTTTCCTTTTATTAACAAGGCTCTCAACAATTCTAGACCAAGGTGAATTCATCAGGAAATGAAAGGCAGCAACGAACAAAACAAGTATCTCTGTTAAAACACAGTATGCTCATTCCTGAAAAACCTTGTACTCTACAGAAAAATAAATGCTTTGTGGCTCCAAAGCAACTTTGTATCCAGCGCATTAAGCATTTGGACCACCCAGCTCAGCAGCTTGGAAGTCTGGAGGTTTCCACAGAAGTTTTTTTTTTTTTTCAAATAAAGAAATACAATAATACTTTAGAGAAGGACTGAGTGTGCCAAAGTGGCACAGACAGGAGTAGAGCTCCAAGCCATGGTGGTGGGCACAGAAGGTGTCAACCTGCCAGGAGCCAAAGAGCTCTGTAAGGCTGGCGGGTGGCCTGGCTGCAGGTGCTTTTTATTTTTTTCTAAATATCCTAAAACAGTCACAACTGCCAGCGCAGCAGCCCAACTAAAGGCTTTTTCCTTTACGTCCCCTAATCTGGCTACTATTGGTGGAAAAGATCACAGAACATGCTTTCAATTTCCATGGTATTAATAATTTCCATGGTATTAATAATATTTTGTTAATATATTGATTATATATTAATATTAATAATTAACATATTACATTATTGATTGTATTAATATTATTGTCTGTCATTGGTGTTACAGAAATGTGTGAGCAAAATGTAGATTGTACTATTTTATTTAAAATTCAAGCAGCAGTAATCTACAGAGGACAGAGTACATGGTGGGCTTAGGTGAACAGGGGGAAACATAGCTGGCTCAGTGAAGAGTAATATATGTCTCTTCTTTTTTTCATGAAAGAAGTCATCTTGCATTATTTTATTTTTTCTTTGTTTTATGTAGAGTTGGTTTTTTAGTGAAATACAAATGGTTAATAAATTACTAAATTGTCCCTAATTCTTTTTTTTCTTTTCTTTTTTAATTTTAATAGATTAAGGGGTACAAGTGTTTTTTTTGTTACATGGATGAATTGTATAGTGGTGAAGTCAGGGCTTTTAGTGTACCCATACTCCAAATAGCATACATTGTACCTGATAGGTAGTTTTTTGATCCCTTAACCTCTTCCCACTCTCCCCACTTCCAAGACTCTAAAGTCCCTTATATCTGTGTGACCATGTATACTTATCTTTCAGCTCCCAGTTATAAATGAGTATACATGCAGTGTTTGTTTTGCCATTCCTGAAATACTTCAAATAGGGTTATGGCTTCTAGCTCCATCCAAGTTGGTGCAGAAGATACTTTTCCATTCTTTTTTATGGCTAAGCCACCACACCTTCCAGGCTCTTTTTTTATTCCATATGAAATTTAGAATTATTTTTTCTAATTCTGTGAAAAATGACATTGGTATTTTGATAGGAATTGCATTGAATTCGTAAAGCACTTTGTGCAGTATGAACATTTTAACAATGCTTATTCTCCCAATCTATGAGTATGAGACATTTTTCCATTTGTTTTTGTCATCAACGGTTTCTTTTTTCAGTGTTTTGTAGTTCTCCTTTCACCTCCTTGGTTAAGTAGATCTTTCACCTCAGTTAAGTAGATTCCTAGGTATTTTATTGTCTTTGCAGCTATTATAATGGTATTGAGTTATTGATTTAACTTAAACCTAGACTATTATTAATGTATAGAAATGCTACTAATATTCCTGGATACTATGTGTATTTGACATTTCATGAGAAAAGGGAAATATTTACCTTCTTCATTTTATTAACAATAAGTTATTCAATGTGAAAATGATCTCTACCACACAAATTTATAACACACAACTATTAACTAATTACGTCATGGTTCTTGTCCATATGTGCAGAGAAGAAAACACTACTGATTTTTAGGGTTATCCTAGTTTTGCAATTTGAAAAAAAATATCTGTAATTCAAGAATTCACTCAAATCTAATAAATTTAGCTTTAAAAACAATCAGAGATACTGATGAAATAAATCAAGACAAAAAAGATGTTTCTTTTTTATTTAATCTCACCTATTCATTTTGGTGCCAAAGAAATCGTGGCCCAAAGAGGTTAGACTCGCCCAGGACTCCAGGCTGTCAGAAGCTCGACCCACTAACCCCAGTCTCTTCCTCCTAGGGCACAGTTAACAGGATCCACTCTTCCTTACTAACTTCCTGCCAAAACACACTGTCTCTCGTTAAAAATAAAAATCTTGTCTGACGGGATTTACTTACAGGACCAACTGGCACAATTTATCGGCTTAAAATCTGAAGATTCGGGGCACCCAACAGAGCAAAGAGGACAGGAGGCGCTTGCACCCACTCCTCCCGAGTGCTAACCCGCTCCCCAGCCTGTGGGCCTGCGCTTGGACTACGCGGCTCCGCTGTCCCTTCAGGGCCCCAGTGAACCTGGAAACCCCTCTCCCCTTTCAGGACCTCGCGACCAACAGGCGTGCCACGCCGGGTCGCCGAGCCAACGCCGGGCTTCACAGGCTGCACCCAGGACGGGAAGCTGAGCAGAGGCGGCGTCCAGGGCTGGCCAGCGCCCGGCTGCAGAACAGCCCCAGGGGGGCTGCGCCTCGTGGCGACTGGGCGGACCGAGATGAAGACCGCACGGTGCGGGGCTGGGCGCGGGGGGCAGGAGCAGCAAAACGCAGGGCTTCGCCGAAGGACCTGCTGGGAGTTGCCAGGGCTGCCGTCCGGCCGCCAGAGGCTCGGGTGTCCCCGGACGACGTCCGTTTCCGCGACAGAGCCGAAGCTGCGGACGGCTCGCGGTCCTCCCCGCCTGGCCCCGCCATCCGCCCTGCTCGAGGGGGAGGCGGAGCGCGTCCGCCTTGCTCCGAGCTTGCGCAGGCGCGTGTGTCCCCTCGTCCTCCGCCTTTTCTCCAGAAACACCGAGTGGGACCAGATGACCGACGGCACGCGAGGTCCCTCGCGCCTCCGGGGATGCCGCCGTGCAGCCGCAGAGAAGGTCCCGGAGAGCCACAGCCGCCGGCCCCCGCGTCCCACTCGGGACGAGCAATCCGCAGAAGCCTCAAGGTCCTCCCTGCCCGGCAGGACTCGCGCGGGGTACAGAGTCAGCCTTGGACTCGGGGAGCGCCGTCGCCGCCCGCGTCCGGGGGACCCGGGACGGGCCGCGGAGCTCCAGACGGCTCGGCGCCCTCCTCGGGCCCAGCACTCCTGCTGGCCGCGCTCTGCCCCAGTTAGGCCGGTCCCACTGTTCTGATGATCTGGGAAGCGGTTCTCCCTCGGCTTTGTGGAAGACGTACGTAAACACCCAGAAAACCCAGGACTATCTACCGGGACACTCAAAACCGCGCCCGCTCCCGTGTCGCTGCGCCGCACCGACGGCCAACCGCCGCTAGAGGGCGCCGCGAGCGGCCGCGCCGCGCCGCTCTACCTCTAGAGGGCAGTCTAACACTAAGACCCAGACTAGGCCGGCGCGGTGGCTCCCGCCTGTGATCCTAGCACTCTGGGAGGCCGAGGCGGGAGCGTCGTTTGAGCTCAGGAGTTCTAGACCAGCCTGAGCAAAAGCAAGACCGCATCTCTACTAAAAAAATAGAAAGAAATTAATTGGACAACTCAAAACAAAACAAACAATATATATATATATATATATATATATATATACATATAAAATTACCAGGCATGGTGGTGCATGCCTGTAGTCGCAGCTACTCCAGAGGCTGAGGCAGGAGGATCGCTGGAGCCCAGGAGTTTGGAGGTTGCTGTGAGCTAGGCTGACGACAGGGCACTGTAGCCGGGCAACAGAGTGAGACTCTGTCAAAAAAAAAAAAAAGAGACTCTGAATATTTGCATCCTAGATTCAGCTAAGTTAAATTTTTATTTAAAATTGGAGAATAGAAAATGTTAACCATTCAAACTGTAGGGTAGGATATGGGTGATTTTTACTTTATATTTTTGTTCTTGAAATTTATGCAAAAGGAGTTATTTATTTAGAAAGAAAAATAGTGGAGAAATTGGAAGCCTTGTGCACCAATAGTGGGAATGTGAAATCGTGCAGCTGCTATGGAAAATAATATGGTGGCAACTTAAAAAATTCAAAATAGAACTACCATATGATCCGGCTACCCCACTTCTGGGTCTATATCCAAAGAAACTGAAAGCGGGATCTCAAAGAGATCGCTGCACACCCACGTCCATAGCAGCTTGTTCACAATAGA